CTACATGGAACAGTTTATCAGGTTAAACTAGTGCTTTTGAATTTTTTTTTTTTTGACAGAGATTTACAATAAGAATTTGACATCATGGGCCGAGCACTGGGTTCATGCCTGTAATCCCAGCACTTTGGGAAGCCTAGCTGGGGAGATTACCTGAGGTCAGGAGTTCGAATGTAGCCTGGCCAAAACTGCAAAACCCTCTCTCTACTAAAAAGATAAAAATTAGCCAGGCATGGTGATGGGTGCCTGCAATTCCAGCTACTTGGGAGGCTGAGGCAGGACTAAAGCTTGAACCTGGGAGGCGGAGGTTGCAGTGAGCCAATATTCTGCTACTGCACTCCAGCCTGATGACAGAGCAAGACTCGGTCTCAAAAAAAAAAAAAAAAAAATAAAAAGCCAGGCGCAGTGGCTCATGCCTGTAATCCCAGCACTGTGGGAGGCTGAGACGGGCGGATCACAAAGTAAACAGATCAAGACCATCCTGGCCAACATGGTGAAACTCTGTATCTACTAAAAAAAAATACAAAAATTAGCAGGGCATGGTAGTGCACGCCTGTAGACCCAGCTACTCAGGAGGCTGGGGCAGGAGAATCATTTGAACCAGGGAGATGGAGGTTGCAGTGAGCCAAGATCGTGCCACTGTACTTCAGCCTGGCATGAATGAAACTCTGTCTCAAAAAAAAGAATTTGACATCATGATCCATCCATACATATACACATGTATGTATGAAACAATAGTTTCATGTAATATTTACCATTATTACATAGTACAGATTCTGATACTTCTACTCTATTTAAGTTTTTTTTAAATTATGATCACAATACACTAAAATGATTTCATGTTCCACTAGCCACAACCCATACCTTGAAAAACAACTCAGGACAGGGAAGTTGAAAGGTTTTGTCTTCAGAGCCATCGGATAGGACATTATCATTTAAAAAGTTCAATAAAAAGCATTATGTGGCTGGGCACGGTGACTCAAATTTGTAATCTTAGCACTTGGGGAGGCTGAGGTGGGCAGATCACGAGGTCAGGAGTTTGAGATCAGCTTGATGAACATGGTGAAATCCCGTCTCTACTAAAAATACAAAACTTAGTTGGGTGTGGTGGTACATGTCTATAATCCCAGCACCTCAGGAGGTTGAGGCAGGAGAACTGCTTGAACCCAGGAAGCAGAGGTTGCAGTGAGCCAAAATCATGCCACTGCACTCCAGCCTGGGCGACAGAGTGAGACTTTGTCTCAAAAAAAATAAAAATAAAAAAAAAAAAAGCAATAAAGGCCAGGCACAGTGGCTCATGTCTATAATCCCGGCACTTTGGAAGGCCAAGGCAGGAGGATTACTTGAGCCCAGGAGTTTGAGACTAGCCTGGACAACATAGCAAGACCCCCATCTTTACAAAAAATGTAAAAATTTAGCTGGGTGTGGTGGTGTGCACTTGCAGTCCCAGCTACTCAGGAGACTGAGGTGGCAGAATCCCTTGAGCCCAGGAGTTCAAGGCTGCAGTTAGCTACGATTCCCACTGCACTCAGACTGGGTGATAGAGTAATACCCTATCTCAAAAATAAAATAAAATTACAAAAGCAATAAAAGTTAAGTGCCCCCTGGCCAGGCACGGTGGCTCATGCCTATAATCCCAGGACTTTGGGAGGCCGAGGCAGGTAGATCACCTGAGGTCGGCAGTTTGAGACCAGCCTGACCAACATGGAGAAACCTCGTCTCTATTAAAAATACAAAATTAGTCATATTGTAGTGGTGCATGTCTGTAATCCCAGATACTTGGGAGGCTAAGGCAGGAGAACTGCTTGAACCTGGGAGGCAGAGATTGCAGTGAGCCGAGATTGTGCCATTGCACTCCAGCCTGAGCAACAAGAGTGAAATTCCATCTCAAAAAAACAACAAAAACGGTTTAGTGTCCCCACAAATGGTATAGAAGCTAAAAGCAAAACAGAATCATAATAGGAAGGTAGATAGAGAAAATTTTTTTTACTGGAGACCTGAGGTAAATCATGAATGACAGGTACAAGAGTCAAGCCACAATGGAGGGATGGAATGTGGCACTTTAAGGGAACAATGAATCTCAGTAAAAACTCTGTGTTTTTTAAAAATTTAAATGGCCACTGAATAAAATGACTTGAAAAGAGAACTCTTTTTGCCTGAGCAGTTCCTTAACCTGCCTGAGATCTGTGAATAACTCATGACAGAACATGAAGGTAGCCACAAAACATGAAAGAAAGATGCTTCATTAAAATTTACAGATAAATGAGACAGGAGAATCCTGGGCAGAAAAGCACCATCAGTTTTAACGCCGCTGCTCTGGCCCTGGGAACTAACAACCTGGACTTCCACTCAAGAGACCTAATCTGAAAGTTGGTAATTTCAAAGACGACAGGAGGATAAATTTACAATGATGGGAAGAAACCAGCGTAAAAAAGCTGAGAATACTCAAAGTCAGAGTATTCTGACTCTGACGCCTCTCCCTCTAAAGATATCACAGTTCCACATCGACAATGGAACAAGGCTTGATGGAGAACGAGCGCATCCTGATGACAGAATCACTCTTCAAGGAATGGATAATAACAAACTTCGGTGAGTTAAAAGAACATGTTGTAGCCCAACGTAAAGAAACTAGGAACTTTGAAAAAAGGTTTGATGAAATCCTATGGAGAATAGACAACTTAGAGAGGAGTATGAGTGAATTAATGGAACTGAAGAATACAATACAGGAACTCTGAGAAGTATGCACAGGTTTAAACACTCGAATTGTTCAAGCAGAAGAAGAGATATCAGAGGTCAAAGTCCAACTTAATGAAATAAAACGTGAAGAAAAGATTAGAGAAAAAAGGATAAAAAGGAATGAGCAAAGTCTCCAAGAAATGTGGGACTATGTGAAAAGACCAAATTTACATTTGATAGGTGTGCCTGAATGCGACGGAGAGAATGAATCCAAGCTGGAAAATACCCTTCAGGATATTATCCAGGAAAATTTTCCTAAACTAGCAAAGCAGGTCAACATTCAACCCCAGGTAATACAGAGAACACCACAAAGATATTCCTCAAGAAGAGCAACCCCAAGGCACATAATCGTTAGATTCACCAGGGTTGAAACGAAGGAGAAAATACTAAGGGCAGCCAGAGAGAAAGGTCATGTTACCCACAAAGGCAAGCCTATCAGACTTACAGCAGATCTCTCAGCAGAAACTCTACAAGCCAGAAGAGAGTGGGGGCCAATATTCAACATCCTCAAAGAACAGAACCTTCAACCCAGAATTTCATATCCAGCCAAACTAAGCTTCACAACTGAAGGAAAAAGAAAATCTTTTATGAACAAGCAAGAACTCAGAGATTTTATTACCACCAGGCCTGCTTTACAAGAGCTTCTGAAAGAAGCATTACACACAGAAAGAAACAACCAGTATTAGCCTTTCTAAAAATACACCAAAAAGTAAAGAGCACCAACATAAAGAAGAATTTATACCAACGAATGGATAAAACAGCCGGTCAACATCAAATGGCAGTAACCCTAAATTTAAATTGACTAAATCCCCCAATCAAAAGACACAGCCAAAACCCAATGGCATGTTACATCCAGACCTGTTTCACATGCAAGGATACACAAAGACTCAAAACAAAGGGATGGAGAAAGATTTACCAACCAAATGGAGAGCAAAAATAAATAATAAATAAATAAAAAGCAGGAGTTGCAATTCTCGTATCGGATAAAATAGATTTTAAAGCAACAAAGATACAGTGGTAAAAGGATCAATGCAACAACAAGAGCTAACGATCCTAACACCCAGATACGAGACTTAGACTCAATGAGATAGAAAATTAATAAGGATATCAAGGACTCGAACTCAGATCTGGAACAAGTAAACTTAATAAATATTTATAGAGCTCTCCACTTCAAATACACAAAATATACATTCTTGTCAATACCACATCACACCTACCCATAAGTTTAAATGAAACATTGATTGGCCATTATTAATACCCAATTTTTTTCAAAATAAAGCAATATTTCCATTTACTCTCCCTCTTTTTCTTCCTCTTTCTTCCTCTCCTTTACTTATTTTTTTTTTCTTTCCTTCTCTCAAAAAAAAAGAAATCAACTTGTAAACCTCTAGATCCAGGTCCGCAATGTCTCTCTCATTGCTTGATTTCTTTCCTTCCCTTCCCTCCCTCCCTCCCTGCTTCCTCCCTTCCTTCCCTCATCCCTTCCTTCCTCCCTACCATCCTTCTTCCCTCCCTTCCTGCCTTCCTCCCCCGCCCAAAAAAAAAAAAAATTTACAGATAATGGATACTAAACAAACTAGGAAGGCTGGGCACCGTGGCTCATGCCTGAAATTCCATCACTTTGGAAGGCGGAGGTGGGATGATTGCTTGAAGCCAGGAGTTCGATACCAGACTGAGAAACAAAGCAAGACCCTGTCTATACAAAAAAAAAACTGTTAAAATTAGCTGGTTCTGGTGGTATATGCCTCCAGTCATGGCTACTCAGGAGGCTGAGGGGAGAGGATTGCTTGAGCACAGAAGTGTGAGGCTACAGTGAGCTACGATTGCACCACTGCACTTTAGCCTAGGTGACAGAGGAAGACCCCATATCTAAAATAACAACAATGATAAAAATAATTAAAAAAAAAAAAAAAACAGGAGAAAGGAGCAAGCCTACAAACATAAAACTGCTAGCCAAACCCCAAAGACATACAAATGTTGAGATTCCTCTTCAGTTAAATCCATTTTATGAATATATTAATAATGTTATTAATAGCAGCAGCCACCATATATTGATTACCTACTAAATGCAGGCAATTTGCCACACCTGGTGTGTACATTCTTTCTATTGCCCCCACAGTCACATATCCCCCACTTTATGGAGAAGAAACTGAGGTGCAGAGGAAGTCTGTCTAGAAACAAAGGCCAACGTATTTTTTTTGTATACTGCCTTTCTATTAACACAAAGTTTTCCTATTAATAAACAAAACAAAACAGAAAATACCAACCTGTTCAGAAGCAGATAAGGGAAGGGGCAAGGACCCTAATTCTTTCAGCAATTCATTTGTTTCCTTGGCGAGCTGATTTGTGGAGTGTTGTAACTGTTGCCTAAGAGAGAAAAGATATGTTTCAGGATGTTCTCACTTCTTGAGAGGGCTATACTCAAACCGCTTTGTTCTGAGAGTGTCTCATAATGAAGGGAATGAAGGGCGATTTGAAGAAATGAGTCCCTAGATGCCCAGGTTCACAACACATTCCAGACATATTACCCAGGCAAACCCACTTCAAGGTATCTTCACCGAGCAGAAAGAATCTGCTTCAATAACCTGCTGAAGGAAGCAGAGACCAGGGAAGAAAAGAAAAGCATGTCAGCAGTTCTGATAAAAATATAAAAAGAACAACTGCTGCTCACAGCTGAATCAAGTAGTTTAAACAAACTGAACTCTCTTATTGTCCAGGAGTTCTGAATCGTTAAGTGTCTGTCACAGTCATTGACTAGAGCTAGGCACAGATGGTTAGATGAAATGTGTATTGAAAGCATAGCTTCCTACCTACTCTAGTGAATCACCTCCAAAGATCTAATCCCATGCTCTTGCTTAAAGCTCACTCTTTTCCAGCCTTATCCTTGGCTTCCTACCTGCTTTTTATACCTGACTTTCTGGCTCTTCTCTTCAAAACAAAGAAGCCCTACCTGTTTAAAAATACAAAAGGAGTACGGAGGAAGGGGAATTGCAGAGGAAAGTATATGTAACACAGTAAGTGGAACTGAAAGCAGAAATACAAAAAGTACTCCTTTCGTGTGTGGTTTCCTTTACTACTCAGCCATTTCTACAAAGGTTTTCTGGGAGGACAGTGAAACCATATGCTATGGTCTGAATGTTAGTGTCCCTGCAACATTCATATGTTGAAATCCTAATTCCCAAGGTGACAGTATTATGAGTTGGGGTCCTTTGGGGGGTGATTGGATCATGAGAGTAAAGACCTCATGAATAGAAGCAGTGCCCTTATAAAAGAGGCCCCAAAGAGCTGCCTTGCCTCTTCCACCAAGTGAGGACACAGGAAGAAGGCGCCATCTATGAAAAAGCGGGCCCTCACCAGACACTGTATCTGCCAGTGCCTTGACACTGGACTTCCCAGCCTCCAGAACTATGAGAAATAAATTTGTTGTTTATAAGCTATTCAGTTTATGATATGTTGTTGTAGTAGCCCAAATGGGCTAACATACCACACTACTAATTATTAATATTTTGTTTGTTTGTTTTTTACTGCAAATGGTTCTCCAGGATTAAAAAAAAAAAAAAGTCAAAAGCAAGAGGGACTCAATCAGGGGCTTGAACATCCCAGGCAGTATTAAAATATCCAGAGATATTTCATATTTCCCTGGAAAAAGCTCACAATAATAGTCATTCTTTCACCTCATACTGCCTAGGGCAGGAAACAAAAAATATTGCTCAGTACATTTTAAAGATAAAGAATAGCACTAAAAGCGGAAATGGAGCAGAAGAGGATGTGATAAAAAGAGTCAGGAGTCCCTACTATCAGTCTGCCATTCTCTCCCTCAGGCTCCCCTTGGGCCATTCTGAATACCTTTTGCTAATAAGATATAGGCAGTGGTCCCTCAGTATTCATGGGGGATTGGTTCCAGGGCCTCCTCCCTCCAATCCTTGATATAAAATTGCTTAACATTTGCATAGAACCTATGCATACCCCTCCGTATAATTATTTTTAAAATTTTTATTTATTTATTTTTAGTTTTTTTTTAGAGACAGGGTCTCGCTATGTTGCCCAGGCTGGAATGCAGTGGCTATTAACAGGAGCGATCCCACTACTAATCAGCACGGGAGTTTTGACCTGCTCCATTTCCAGCCTGTGCCAGTTCAGCCTTCCTTAGGCAACCTGGTGGTCCTCTGCTCCTAGGAGGTCACCATATTGATGCCAAACTTAGCGCGGACACCCGATCAGCATAGCGCACTACAGCCCAGAGCTCCTGGGCTCAAGCGATCCTACCTCCTCAGCCTCCCGAGTAGCTGGGACTACAGGCACGCGCCACGGCGCCCAGCTATTACTATTTTTTGAGACGAAGTTTCGCTCTTGTCTCCCAGGCTGGAGTGCAATGGCATGATCGTGGCTCACCACAACCTCTGTCTCCTGCGTTCAAGCAATTCTCCTGTCTCAGCTTCCCGAGTAGCTGGGATTACAGGCATGCGCCACCATGCCCGGCTAATTTTCTATTTTTAGTTTCTCCATGTTGGTCAAGCTGGTCTCAAACTCCCGACCTCAGGAGATCCACCCACCTAGGCCTCCCAAAGTGCTAGGATTACAGGCGTGAGCCACTGTGCCCAGCCTATATACTTTATTTTTTATTTTTATTTTTATTTTTTTGAGACAGTCTCACTCAACTCACTGCAATCTCCGCTTTCTGGGTTCAAGCTATTCTCCTGCCTCAGCCTCCCGAGCAGCTGTGACTACTCCCAGCTGATTTTTGTATTATTAGTAGAGACAGGGTTTCACCATGTTAGCCAGCCTGGTCTTGAACTCCTGACCTCAGGTGTTCAACCCGCCTTGGCGTCCCAAAGTGCTGGGATTGCAGGAGTGAGCCATTGTGCCAGGACCCCCTTTTGTATATTTTAAATCATCTCTAGATTACTTATAGTACCTAGTACAATGTAAATACTATGTAAATCATTATTATGCTGTATTTCAGTAATAATGACAAGGAAAAAAGTCTGTACATCTTCAGTAGAAAACCTTTTTTCTGAATGTTTTCTATCTGTGCTTGGTTGATTCCACAGGTACAGAAGAAATGGATATGGAAGGCTGACTGCAGCTGGAAATCCAATTAGACTAGATCATTAGGAGTCCTATGCCAACAAGGAAGCTTATTTAGACAGAGTTGTGAGCAGAGTAGTGTAACAGTGGTACAAGTTCCCTTCTTTACTTCCCTAAATTGTTCTGCTAAACTGCCTAAGAGGAGAAAGAACTAGAGTTCAAGGACATTGAAAGGCAGTGGAGATCACAATCCATTAATATACTTTGTTGCCCCTCTTTTTAAATCTAACTATTACTTTATGACCCACTGCCTCTCACTCTGACTTCCCAGACCTGAAACCTAAGCTGCCATGCAGCAAGGACACTGTCCTCAAATGGTCTTCACAAAACCCAACCTTGTCAGGAAGTTACTCACAGATTTTCCTGTAGCTTGGTTGAGTCCTGCTTAGTTCCTAGCTGGCTCATCAAATTCTTTATCTGAGCAGCTGGGGAGATAGGAAGAAAAAGATTTATTTAAAAGAAAAATACATTCATCACAAGTACCCTACTTCTAAGCTCCCTGGTTTCTTCACACTCAAAATAAATATTAATACATGCAAACTAATAGAGACCATGCTACGATCAAAACCTCGACACACACATTCCTCCAAAAACTAATTACAAGGTTCACCTTTCTCCTGTAGAGTAACTATGTTACTAACTAGTAGGTGGTGGTTTTATCATCCCCCCAATATTTGCTAATTTTTCTAGATCTCCCATTGCAATTGTTAAAAAAATTTTTTTTTTTTTAAGATGGAGTTTTGCTCTTGTTACCCAGGCTGGAGTGCAATGGCGCGATCTCGGCTTACCGCAACCTCCGCCCCCTGAGTTCAGGCAATTCTCCTGCCTCAGCCTCCTGAGTAGCTAGGATTACAGGCACGCGCCACCGTGCCCAGCTAATTTTTTGTAATTTTTTAGTAGAGACGGGGTTTCACCATGTTGACCAGGATGGTCTCGATGTGTTGACCTCATGATCCACCTGCCTCAGCCTCCCAAAGTGCTGGGATTACAGGCTTGAGCCACTGCGCCCGGCCCTGTTAAAATTTTTAACGCCTTTAGAAGGGCCTCTAGGCCAGATATCAATTTGCAACAATTTAAAAAATCAAATCAAATACAATAATTCTATAGCAAATATTTTTGGAAGGACAATGTATATTTATTATTAATAATAGGTTACCACCAATTGAACACCTCTAAGTTCCAGGCAGTATATACTAAGAGCTTTGTGTATATTCTCTTATTAATTTTCACAACAGCAATCTCAAGTAGATATACCTTCATTTTGCAGGTAAGAAAATGTATTTAGAGAGGTTAAGTATTTTATATAAGTATATACAATCAATAAGTAGCAGAGCAAAAAATCCAGTGCCAGGGACATCAGATTCCAATGGCTATGTTCTTTCAACTGTGCTCTCTATACCACATTACAGTCAAATATATGGTTTTGTGCTTTTGTGCAGCCCTCTCTAGCTTTTTCCAGATATTTGCTAGGACTAGGAGTGGTAATATTTGAATCCTGGATGTTTAAGTCCCTATCCTAGACCAAGAAAGCAGAGGTCCAGGGGAACTGATCATCTATCATTCAAGAGGAATACTCTAACATCAGCCTGCCTGGGGCTCTAAACACTTCTGCCCCTTACTGATTTCTGCAACGAGAATAGAGCCCTTCATTTCTTTTATGTCTTGCTTTCTATTTTCTCTTTCTGGTTACTGGGGACAGTTGGGGAGATTTCTTCATTCATAGATGTTGGAAGTTAAGTTACATGATTTCTTGTTTGCTTGCTTTCCAAGAGCATTCATTGTCTTCTATTACAAGTAGATGGAGTACAGAACATATGAACAGAGCACTCATTGACCAGAGGAAACACACTTATCATCAAGTTTCAATAGAACTTTAAGAAATAACAACACAATAAGTATATGGCTCTTCCAGCCAAATTCAACCTTCTTTGTGAGAGCCCTTTCTATCCTCTCTAGATTAATGCCAGTTTCACTTGTGAAACAGCCTGCTAAATGACCAGCTCAGTGGAGGAAAATGAGGAAACTGATATATATTGTATAATTTGTGAATATTATAGGGGCAATATACATATAATGCTCCCATGTCCAATAAGAATGAATCCTCACTTATTAGAATTCTGAAATATAAAAATTAATTGTTCCAAATTCACTTTTTGGTAACGGTACTCTTTTTTTTTTTTTGTGATGGAGTCTCACTCTGTTGCCCAGGCTGGGTGCAGTGGCACAATCTCAGCTCAATGCAATCTCCACCACCCGGGTCCAAGTGATTCTCCTGCCTCAGCCTCCCAAGTAGCTGGGATTACAGGCATGCATCACCACGCCTGGCAAATTTTTTGAATTTTTAGTAAAGACGGGGTTTCTCCATGTTGGTCAGGCTGGTCTCAAACTCCTGACCTCAGGTGAGCCTTGGCCTCCCAAAGTGCTGGGATTACAGGTGTGAGCCGCCATGCCTGGCTGGTAATGGTACTCTTATAATAACAATATTTGGGGAACACAGTCATAATCTTGTCCCTAATTTGGTCACCAAGATTAGTAAAATGTAAGCTAAAATTTATTGAGTACCAGTTACCTTTCAATAACAAGACATGCTAATAGTCCCTAAATCTGATAAGAAGCAATGATTAGGCAAAAATCTTCTAATTGATTGCTGGTTGCTTCTATTCCTTAACAGAAATGCAACAACTCAATCCTTAGTAGGAAGTTATTGCTCCCTAACCAAAATTACTGCATTTGTTGGAGTTACAAAGCAAACATTTCCAGAGTCAAGTATATACAGGTTGGTAGCACTTCAGATTTCATCTTATTTTGAAACTATGTTTCTGTAATAAAAATGTGATTCCAGTCTTATAACAGAAATACAGGATTCACTTAATTCAAAATTTGCCTTTTGACAAGACTTCCCTAAAAGATATCTATTCTACTAAGTGAGGGTTACCTATAGCTCAGTGGTTCCATAGAAAAACATAAAACATTATAATTTCTGCATTCTGCTAAGATAGCATTATGTATGACAACCACTTGTCTTCATCACTAACATGTGGTATGTCCTTCTTGTCTAAGTCAAATGGGAATCAGGATACCACTAAAGCTATTAACTGGACAGCCATAAAAACAATTTATGGAAGAGGGCATGAATTTTCATTTACTGAGCATTTACTATGTACTAGACACTGGGCTTGACAAGCATTAACTTATTTGACTCCAACAACCCTTTCAGTAAGTATTATTATTCCATTGTGGCATATGAGCACAATGAGGCTCGTGAGAATTACAGAACTCATTCATTCATTCATTCATTCTGAGTAGAGTACCTACTCTACACTAGGACACTTAGTGTCCTAGAAGACACTTGCTTTCAAGAGTCTTCTAAGGAAAAGAGACAAATAATAAACATATCAGATAGTGATAAGTGGTATAAAGAGAAATAAATTCAGGTAAGGGCTGAAGTGACAGTGGTGGGCAGAGGATACTACTAATATAGGGTGGTCAGAGCGATCTCTCTGATAAGGTGACACTGAGCACAGATCCAAAGGAAGTGAAAGATCAAGCCACACAGCTATCTGGGGGAGAAGTATTCTAGGAGAAGAGGGTAATCAGTACGAGGTCCCCAAAGCAAGAGTGCTTGGGCCAGGATGGCTAAAGCAGAGTGAGCAAGAGAGGATAGAGAAGTGGCCAAGGAGGTCGTAGGGACCCAGATTATATAGGGCCTTGCAAACAATTATTAGGACTTGGAATTTTAATGAAATGGGAAATCACTGATAGGAGGTTTTGAGAAGTGTCATTATAACCAGAATTCAAACCCAGGGCTAACTCCAATGGAATGTGCCACATTACGTTCTCTCAAAGGCTGAGTCTTACAGGAAAAAGAATGTAGTCACACAGGGCAGGCCTAGATTTCCCAGTGTTCCACTTAGCCCCACCCTACTTATCTGATAACTCCCTAACTTAATAACTCTCTGCTCCAGATAGGCTGATGTCCTGGCTCTAACCTGCTCCCTTCCCCAGCTCCCTGGCACCTACGGGAATACTCCTCTATACTTACCAGAGTTCAGCAGAGTGCCAGGTACCCAGGTGATACATAATTAATTATTGATTGAGTTAGCCTCCCTTTTACATTTATGGCAATGTCTTTGAGGCAGAAGATGTGAATGAAGAATATAAGCTAGGAAAAATGAGGACTGAAACCTAAGCCAGACTTGATGACTAACTAGATGCATGCCTCTAGACAAGTCATTTCATTTGACTGGGTCTCTTTTTCACTAATTACAGATGATATTCAGATTTCACTGACATTTACTGAATACTTAAACTATTTGTGTCAGGTTTTTATTTTCTCTCATTAAATCCTTACAACTATGTGAAAACTGATTTCTAAGTACTCCCACCACTGCTCAATTCTAAAATTCAGTAACAGTGAAATAGCTCTAGTCCCAGAATTATGCTGTGTAACCAAGGAATACTTTTGCAACCCAGAAGTTTGGCTTAGAAAGGTTCCACCGGTGACTTAAAACTTCGCAAATGCAAGGTACAAATAGGACTGGACTGAGTGTATGCCTCTAGACGGCAGGGACTGCATTCTACTCATTTTGTGTATGTATAATCCCTAACACACACATGCCCATCCAGAAAATGGCTGAATATATGATGACACATAACGGTAGATCTGACAAAAAAAGTTAAGGAGATAGATCTCTTATTGACTGTCTTTAAAAAGTAGAACATTCCTTAGAAACTCTCTAGAAGTATGCCAAAGTATCAAGTTATTAACCATCTATCAAAACTTATTAAATAAGCTACAGAGCTACGGGAATTTTATAGAATATGAAAAAAATCAATTAATAATCAGCTGTTCTCTGTGTTTTCTCAGTGGAGAACTCTTCTTCATCTAGACTTTTCTGATTTCCTTCGTTGAGATGACCTGAATTTGGGGGGGGGGGTGGAGATAAAGAGGGGTTGAGGAAGTGGGGCTGTTGGGGACATTATAGGGTCATCTGCTAGCTAAATACCAGAATTAATCTAAGCCTTCATTCACAGTTTCTAAATACCTAAATATTAACATATTTTCTTTAAAGTTTCCAGCAAGACTTAGGTCAGATACCCTAAAACTCAAATCTTAAGTACAACAGTGTCGTAGTTTACTGGAACCGAGAGAAGCAGAACTTTTTGTATTTTCCCTCTAAAACCACCAACATCAGGGATTTGTTCAAAACTAGTAACTCAATGACTCATGTATTTTAAATCTAAGAGATGCAACCTTCAGTAAAACTAAAGCACACAAAGGAACAATGTGTTTACACATATATTTATTTGCCCTTGAGTATACTTAAAATATCAAAAAGAAAAATGAGGCCAGGCACAGTGGCTCACACCTACAATCTCAACACTTTGGGAGGCTGAGGTGGGCAGATCACTTGAGGCCAGGGTT